GTATATGGGCCGTATGAATGCGACTAAACCCAGTTATATTTAAGTCGCTATTCCAAACACTTCTGCGATTTCTTGTGTCATTTTTTGAGGTGTTATATTTTTGTTGATAGATGAGGTAGATGTTACAAATTGGAGTTGAACATGCGAACGTGGGAAGGTAATTTTCACATGCGTTTCTAATAATTGATTTCTGATGAGATACGTTCTTTTACAGTGCATGACATGGCATGACATGACACGACGAACATGCTCAAATGTTTAGGGGTTCTGCTGAAAAAGTTTAAGTCGTCATCATTAACGAAAGTATGTGATTTGATTTGATTTGATTTAATTTGGCTTGATTTGATTTGATCGCGAGTATACGGAAACCAACAACAACAAAAAAAAGTACGTGGAACATAATTAGGCCTATTGCGGCAGTGATAACGATACAAAAATGCTTAGGCCTATTGTGAAAGACACTGTGGTTTCATTTAATTTCATTTATCCATCGAATTTAAATTTCTTTAACTTAATGTCGGATATTTTAAATGTTTTATATGAAGTTTATCTTGATCTTGTCGAAGAACGATTATTTAATCGAACAAGTTTATTTGTAATTTTTGTGCTTTTATTCTCGAATTGAAATAAAGTTTATATATAATGTACCGTATATATTATATCATAGAGAAAATAGACATTTTCTCTATGATTATATATAGGCCTATATACAGTACCTTCATCCATTGACCATCGTCACGCCATAATAATAATGATAATAATACAAAGGCCGCATCATTGCGGTGTTAAACTGATGATGGCTAATGTTTTAACCGAAATATGTATTCGAAATTAAAACTTACTGTTATATTTATCCGCTGTCTAGCATTCTTATTTTGAATCGTCGTTTTGGCAACCTGATTTTTTGTTAAGAAGGAGAAAAAGTATTTATTGGAGACGTCTGATCAGAGTATATTGAGTACAACATTACGCAAGGTTGAGCAAAGTATCATTCCTACTGAGTTTCTGACAAAACACACCTT